TTGAAAAACAACTGGAGAGAATTATGAGAAATTTCCTTTGGGGAGATGACATAAGAAGGAGGAGATTTCATCTAGTGAGTTGGGAAAAAGTTTGTAGACCAATGAAGGAGGGGGGATCGGGTGTTAGGAGACTAAAACATATAAACTCGGTGCATTTAGTAAAATGGCGGTGGAGGATCCATACACAACCTAAGTCTTTCTGGGTCCTTGTTTTGAGAGAAAAATATGGAATGCATTTAAACTTTGGCCTCATTAAAAGTCCAAGAAACAAGACAAGTTTGTCCCATGTTTGGAGAGGTATTGACTATGAGAGATCTGTGTACCTACGACAATTCTGAAAAATAGTAGAGGTTTGACAAATGGATTGAAGATGAACCGTTGAGATACCTTTTCCCCAAGGTTTTCTCAAAAGCTTTAGACCCGCTAGCATATGTCAAGGAGGCTAGTGGGGGTGTTTATACTAATATTGTTTGGTCTATTCCTTGTAGGAATAGAAGAGGTACAAACAGATTCATTGAGGAGTATTAGATATTGTTGGAATTATTGAATGACACATATTTGACTCCAAATATGGATAATAGCTTTATTCGAGATCTTATCCCTTCGGGAGACTTTTCGGTTAAGTCAACTTACAACCTATTATTTTCTTATCGTTGGAGAGAATTAGATGCTGGTTTATTCAATATTAAGAAATTACATGTGCCTCTTAAAGTGCATTTATTCTTATGGATCCTGTGTCAAGATAAATTAGTAACTGTTGACAACTTGAGAAAGAGGGGGTTTATTATCACCAATGTATATATCATGTGTAAAGCAAGTGATGAAACTTCGCTGCATTTTTTCCTCTTATGCCCTTTTGTTACTTATCTTTGGGATTGAGTTCGTTAGTGCCTCAATCTGTCATTAACTTTACCCCAAAATGTGAGAACTCTTCTTGATCCGATATTTCAAAGATAGGAACTATCATTTGGAGATCTATTTGGGTTAGCCTTCTTTGGAATGTGTGGAAGGAAAGAAATAGAAGAGTCTTTGATAGTATAAGTGCAGATCTATCTACATTAAAAATGAATATTTTGACAGTTGCAACTGATTGATTTTTTGCACATAAGGATAGTAACTTCATTTCTAAAAGTCTTATCATTAGCAATCCTTCAGCAGTGGTGACTATGGGTGTTACCATTGACACTCGTAGGGAGGTTGTTTGGATACTACCACCAGTGAATTCCTTCAAACTTAATTTTGATGGAAGTTCACTTGGCAATCCAGGGCCAGCCGGCTATGGTGGACTCATCAGAAATAATTTGGGTCACATTATTTTTTCTTACTCGGGTCCTTGTGGTATCACAACAGCAAATGAGGCAGAAGCACGAGGTTTATTAGAAGGTTTGAAATTGCTATGCACTTTGAAAGGGGATAGGATTATCGAAAGAGACTCGGCAAATGTCATTGCCTAGAGTAAGAAAAAGGCCAAAATCCCGTGGAGATTAAAGACTATTTCTCATCAAAGTTGGGATATTTTGTCAACCTCTATGGTAATAGTCAAACGTTATTATAGAGAGGAGAATGGAGATGCTGATGTTCTTGCTAAAGGAGGAGTTCATACTCCCTTTGTGTTGCTTACTTCTTTTTTATAATATTGTGTTATTGCTTGAACATCTTGTACTTTACATATGAATTAATAATAAGTCGTACATTGCCGTTCAAAAAAAAAAAAAATGATGTTGGAGACCTTTACTGGTTGATTCTACATATGGATATCATCATTATATTTCTTCCACCGCATTTGGATTTTCCTTGTTAGACAAATATGAGGTTTTGATTGTTTTAAATTATTTCAAGCAAAGTTTATAAATTATTTTGGGAAACCATTAAAGTTTTGCTATCCAATAATGGGGGAGAACATACACAAATGTTTTTCAACACCTCCTGAATGGTAGTGGTATCCATCATTAGTTTTCATGTACATATACCCACAAAATAAAATGTGGTTTGCTGCATGAAAAATCGATATATTGTAGAGACAATGTTATCTATGATGCTTGATTCTCATATTTCTTCCTTCTTGTGGGGAGAGAATTTCCTAAGATAAGTTTATCTTATTCATAACATTTGAGATGTCAAATTAGATGGCTTGGGATGAGTTACATAGTTCGAGAATTTTTTTTTTAGAACTTTGTATCTATTCAATGACACTCTTACAACTGCCCATTTTGAAATTTAAGGGACAAAAATGATTCCGACCTCCATGTACAAAAGATAAATACTCTTTTTGTAAACAACTCCAATATAAATTTGGTGTCAATTAATCTCGATTGCATGTTTGTAATTGCGAGTACTTTATGCATATTGATTCTTCACTTCACAAATGAACTTGAGCTTAAAGCATATCATGGAATGTTCATTGGTTATGCTTCAGACCATAAGGCCTACAAGTGCTATATTCTATGGAGAATGATTACTTTTTGCAATGTTACCATTGATGAGGTTAATTTATATTCTTCTTCTTCTAATACGGACTTGTACTCCTTTTTTTACTAATTTAAATTATAAAGGCATATGTGGAAGGGGAAGCACATTTAAAGATGAGCACACTATTCTAATACGGACTTGTACTCCTTTTTTTACTAATTTAAATTATAAAGGCATATGTGGAAGGGGAAGCACATTTAAAGATGAGCACACTATTCCTCTGCGACTTCTTTCTATCGTGAAGCCTTATGCATCACAAGCACTAGGGCTGAGAATGGGTCGGATCGGATCCAGATCCACTAGGATCTGGATATGGGTTAAAAAGTACATATAGGAACCAGATCCAAATCCAGATCCAGCCCCGATTGGATTTAGAATATTTAAATGTCGATTTAAAATATATATGGGACTCATATCCAAAAAATTTATTTTATGTATTATTTTATATATTATTTTATATCTATAAAATTATATATAGTAGAAAAATACTATAAAATATTATACAATATATATTTAAAAAGTACTATATAATATATAATGGGTGTGGTTTCAAAAAAAATTATTTTATATATTGTTTTATATTTATAAAATTATATATAATTGAAAAATACTATAAAATACTATACAATATATATTTAAAAAGTACTATATAATATAAATTGGGTGTGGTTTCCATAAGGTTGCAGCCATAGCGCCTTCAAATTTTATCATAACATATAATTTTGATGTAAAATATTCTTAAGATTATCTCAAAATCTATTTTCATATCTAATTATAAAGTGGTCTAGATAATGTGTTGTAAAAAGCACCATTTTTGGGACTCAAAATCTGTTTTTTTGTCATAGTCATACATCTCGATGTCCTGATGATTAATTAGAGAGTTTTTCAATATTAAAATGACCATTTTTTATGGATTTTTTAGGTGCATCCGTAGTTCTACATTTTAAGGTTGCAACCTAAAAATGTTTTCAATCAAACATATTCATATTCAAAGAGAAAGGAGTATAGCATGATAAAAGTAGCAATAAGAAACAAAATAGGATAAATATCATATTATCCCCTATTTTTAACTTTTATATTTCACCAGACCTAATAATTGAAAATATCACTTGTAAGTAAAATGAATCCATCTTTTCTATCTTCCAACCCCCTAAACTCTTTTGACCATGTATTATTGACCTCAATAACTTATGAAATGACTATATCTCTCTCACTCTAAAACTCCATTTCTCTCTCACATCATCATCTCTCTCTCAAAACTCCATCTCTCTCTAAAGCCCAAACGCCATCTCTCTCTCTCACATCATCATCTTTCTCTCAAAACTCTATCTCTCCCCCTAAAACTCAAACTCCATCTCTCTCTCTCTCTCTCAAAACTCCAGTTCTCTCCTTAAAACTCAAACTCCATCTCTCTCTAAACCTTCATCTCTCTCTAAAACCCAAACTCTATCTCTCTCTCTAAAACTCCATCTCTCTCTCGCATATAAGGTGTGCTCGTGTTCGAGCTTAAACTAAACCTTTTGACTGGTAAACTCAACGAGAAGCGAAGAGAGAGAGATGAAGTTTGAATAGAGTATCATTTAGTGTTTGTTTGGGTAAAATATTTATTGTCAAAGGGGTCTAGGGAGTTGTAAGATAGAAAAAATGGATACCTTTTGCTTACCGGTAATATTTTCAATTCTTGGGGCTCATGAGATATGGAAGTTAAAAATAGAGGATAATGAGATATTTTTCCAATAAAATATGATGCCACTACAAAGGGAAACGTACGGTGTAACCTCTTTAACCTATAGATTAACCTCAATACATATTTTTCCCTAATTGTACCATCTATGCACTTAAAAAAAGTCTTGAGATTGAATAGAGACTTGAAAGGTCAAGTTTGGGTTCAAAACCTGGAACTGAACACTATTTAGGTCTAGATCCGAGTCTGGGTTCAGCGGGACCTGACCCGTACCTATAAATTGTTGGAGATAAAATGCTTTATTTTAAGCATTATTCGTTTGGGTATATTAAAGATTGTATACAATAAGAACTCGTAGCCATATTTAGCTATTAAACAAAAAATCATATGGTAGGTGATTGTGACCTTGTTGCCAATAATATGGGTATAAGACGGTAAAAAAAAAAAGGGCGAAAAAATGAAGAAGAATAAGCTCACAATGAGGGTGGCAATAGACCCAGGACCTAACGGGGTAGACCCAAGACCCAGCGGGTATGGGTATGGGTCCAATCTTTGGACCCGAATACTATTCGGGTCCAGGTCCACTCAGACCCAACTCGTACCCGACCCGTTGTCAGATATAGGGTGGCAATGGACCCGATCTGACTCTAGACCCAATGGATCTGGGTATGGGTCCAAATTTTAGACCTGAAAGATTAGGCTTGGGTCCAAATCCTAGACCCGAATACTACTTGGGTCTAGGTCTTGCTGGTCTAGGCCAGCCAGACCTGACCCGTTGCCACCCCTTGGCTATTTTAGATGAGCCACATTGTTTTGAGGGCAGCCACTTGTATATTTCTCACTTAGTAAGAAGCTGCTGCCGCTGCCGCTGCCGCTGCCGCTGCCGCTACTGCTGCTGCTGCTGCTATTCATTGGTATCAGAGAGGTCTTTAACGGCCTACCACTGAGTTCCATTCCTCGGAATCAGAGAGGTCTTTAATGGTCCACCACTGAGTTCCATTCCTCTCTACAAAAATTTCAGAGCACTTGTGATTGGATTGGGTGTGGTGGTGCCATGCCTCCCTCCCATTCTCTTCTGATGAACACTTTTCTCTCTTCCTTTTCCACACCCTCCCTCTCTCTTTGCCCCTTCTCTTTCCTCGAAATGAGGTGGAAGACCATGTCCGCTGCCATGAGGATCAGACGCCCTCTACAGATCAGATTTCAATCCAGTAACTCTCTCGCTCCCTTTACTGCTTTTGTTTTGTGTTGTTTCATCATTTGTGCTTTCTCACTAACTCAGAATATGTACATAAGGATTCTTGAAGTGTGGCATGGTACTATGATAAGCTAAAATTGATCTCCATCAACAATGCCTTTTTTGCTAAAAAAAAAATCGATCTCCTTTAATTTTTCCTCTTTACTTTTCCTGAGGATCGCCAAACTCTACTGATATGAGCGAAGTACAGTAATTAGTGTGGAGGCTTATTATAACTAATATGACCTACAGTCCATCAAACTGGACCATCGAAATTAACCATTGTTACACCCAGTTCTGGTATATTTGTATATGCTGACAATATCCACCATTTGAAGCCAATGACAGCTATTAGGAATGCACTCTGAAGCCTCAAAAGATAAAATTCAGTAAAAAAAAGAAAAAAAAAAAACTAGATGATTAAACCAGATGATTAGTGGGGGGTTTAAAGCTTCATTCTTCAGCAATATTGAAAGTTTTTCCTATATTAAATGCAAAGAGCCACTCGCGAGGCCCTGCTTGTCTTTAGAATCCTGATAGCGTCCCTTCTCTTCTCAATTGCTGGCCTGTATTGCCTTTGGTTTGCCATAAAAAATGATCTCAAATGTATGCCCCACCTTTATTAGCTTCCATTCCTATTCTTTAAGTGTTCATGAAATAATATTGATCATGATGATTGGCTTTTTATTCTCAAGAAACAAAAAGAAACAAGAATGGATAGGTTAGGGATCTTCCTTTTGGGGAACAGACTTCATTATTCTTTCTTTTTTTGTTTGCTTGGAATTATTGACTTGATTCATGATTCAACTCCTTGACATCTCTAATTAAAGAAAGTGTCAAACCACCAATTTGTTGCCAATGCCATATTGTCAACTTTGCGTGTATTTAGTTGCATGCTGGTGTTAGTGGCAACTTTTCGCGGCGGTTGGTTGTCTAGGTCGTTGTAACATGTGTTTGTTGTCAAACAAATCAAGGAGTATTTTCTGGTTCCCAACTTGCCTTGCCATGACACTTGGTGATACTGACTTGTCTTGCATGCATACAAACATGTTGTCTAAGAGTGCCATTTCTGAGTTTCCAAATGGGCTTTCCCAGGTAACGGGTCAACTTTCCTTTTGTTTGGTCATTGAGAGTCTTAGTTCAAGTTCACAAATTAAGGTGGGATCATCAAGTTCTTGTAAATTTTTTTATATTACTCGCATAGATAACCAAAAGGCATACCCTGACTTCCAGTTAATATTGCTTTAGTGAAAGCAACAGCTGATAACCCTTTGTTGCCAAGAGGTACTCAATTGAATAATATACTTGATGTAGGCTTGAGAGCTTTTTTTTTTTTGGTTGAAACTGAGGGGTTGAGTGTATTGATCCAGGGTATATTTTCCATAATCAGAATTCTAGTAATGCTTTGCAAATCCTGCTTTTTTAAGTTGTAATATTCCATGATAACAATCAAATGGCCATATGAACTTTTTATAACAAAAACTAGGCTTGCTTGGTCTGTAAGGAGTAAAACCTGACCTCCATATTGATTCTCTTAATGCCCTTTTTGACGATGCTGAACTTGGGGAATGGGGAATGGCAATGGATCAAGTTAAGTAACATGTGGATTTGGTCCCTTTTTTATATTACACATGATATATAAATTTTTGAATTTGTCTTACTAGGGAAGATTAAAGACTGACCACATACCATTAAGAGGATGTCCCTTATATTTTCACTCAAACAGGTATCCTCTTGAAATTCTTGATTTGGCAGTTTGCACTGCTGAGAGCCTAATGACCAGTGTGACACTGAATAGAAAACTAGATTACATTGTTGCACTTACCTTGGGACGCCCGTACTCTCAAATGACAATACTTTATTCACCACCCAGAATTTAGAAATTAATGGAAGCAATATGCAGTTATCTTAATCATTGGGAAAAGGCCCTGGTGGTGATGATGATGAATATGCAATTATCTGCAATCAATTTTTTTTGAAGGTAACAGTTAATAATTATCTTAGTCATTGCTATTAGCATCTCCAACCATCAGGTATATCATCCAATTTTCTCCTTGATAATAGTACTAGATGCAATGCAGCTTGGCCTGGATGGATGGCCACAAATTCGGTACAAATCTTTCTCCGAACTCATTTAACCCTTATATTTGATGTAATTTTCTCATCTTCTGTTAATCTTAGCCACCAATATAGGGATCTTCCTTGTTACATTACTGCAGCTCGGTTTACTACATCGTCATTTGCTCATCTTCTGAGTTCCTGAATCATTCTGCATTTATTTACCCTGGCTACAATGTTTTTCTCAACTTTGTATCAATGTTTAGCAAAAGAATATCAATTCCTATATCTATAATTGCACCATTCCTTGAAGCTCTTATCATTTTTGTTGGAGAAGCAAAATTAAAAAATCGCTGCCTTCTTCATTCATTAATTGATTTTGTTTAGGAGGAAGAAAAAGGGATCGAGCTCCGTCAGCTTTCCATTTCTTATAGGCTTCTCTATTTTCAAATAGTTTCAAGTGTTCATCATGAACACTCAGTATCTTTTCATTTCCTTTCAGAGCTTCTTGTTCTTTATGTTGCTTTACTTCAGCAAAAAACTCAAGGTTTTTTTGTATTTATTTCAATTGATTTTCAATGGCAGATATATCGTTTTCAACGAAAGATGTCCATGAATTAAATAATTTAACTGTTCGATTTTATCTCTTTGAGCCTTTTGAGAATCCATACTGTGTAGCAGCAAATAACTAACATCAATTTTAAATTTGGTGCTTCTAATTCAAACTGATCAAGGGTAGTTGTGAAATAGGCCATTTTTGGCAGCCATTCTCCATCTGTTACCGGATTTTCTTCACTACCATTTTCCACTTTTACTGTTTTGAACATCTTTGATTGGGCTGAACTCCTATTTGGATTCTAAATATTCAGAGATAGCAAGAAAACCTGTAATAAAACCATCAATATTTACAGAAGTTCCTAATTCATTTACATAATTTGGATATTTGGGAAAATGAACTCCATAATCCAATTTAGAAGATGTGGTTGCGCTTTTTGTTAAATGAAAAATACACCTATAATAGGCTATATTGATCCTGATAACAAATCTATACCTTTGATTTCTATACATATAAGAAAAGCTTTTGTTATAAATTCATCATTTAAACAGAGATAAAAATTAAGCTGTATAGATGTCATTCCATCTTTATATAAAAAGAACAAATGTTTTTTGTGGGTTGGACCGCATTTCTACAATATGCAGTCCAGAGCTATAAAGCATCCATCTTAAAGATGGATGCAAATAGGTGGTCCATCTAAAAACAATTGTAACTAACGCTTCAAATGCTTTTTTTAATATAATTACTATTTCTAATTTGAAAAATTTACTTATTATCATATTCATGATCTCCATGTTCAAGATTATATATTCCCTAAAAATTAGGATCATATTATATTTAAAAATATATTTATTGCCATGCCCGCATTTCTACAATATGCGGGCTGGCCGCATGCTAACCACATCCATTTAAAAACCTCAAAATTGACAAAGTAAAGCTTTTTCTCAAGAAACATGCCTAACATCTAGTAAAGATACCAAATATTTCGCTTTTAGATTATAGTTAAACTGTGGATGAACTAAAATATCAATTTTCCCAATTTGAGCATATTGATATTTTTTGCTAATCCATCTTTTAATTTCATCTTTTTAAAAAAATGGCAAAAATACTGGACAAATCCCGTGACTCTTTACATGGAGATTTACCTTTGCTTGTCTTATTGATTTTAATAATCTAGACTCTAAATAAGGGGTTTTATACAATCTTCTTTCTTTATTTCATGAAATCTGATATTACCATGTTTGTCTACAAATCCTTCTTGTTCCAGAATAAAAGAATGAAGAGAAGAAGTTCTAGAAAATTGAGAACAAGCATTTGGAATTTGGAAAGAGTCATAATTTTCTGGGTATTCTGAAATGGAATTATTAATGGAAAATTCAGAGGCTGAGGAGTGTCTAGGACGAATCATTTTTATTTGGGATTTACAACCCTCACCAATTACTCTGTTGGGCTCAGGTATAGGGATTTGGTCATTCAATAGATAGTGCAACCCGTCTGTTTCATCATCCTCATCGTATTCATCGAATATTGGAGGCTCATCCCAATTTATCTGTTTTGCCATTTCATCTTTTTTGTCTTGCATATTTCATATTTATCTCTTCGGCTTATCATAAACTGGGGTTCACATCTTTTTTCCATGCCTTCAATATATACTAGTTTATATAGCATGTATCTTTTCTGGCTGCATCTTGAAAGAATAGTCCCCAATTGATGATTTCTTTAATAGGGAAAGGTACTGCTTCACACTTTGAAAATTCCATCTTTTGATCATTAAACATATCTTCTGATCATCAAAAGATTCTAGCTTTTGATCATGAAACATATCTTGCTTAAGTGTTTTGTTTGGCACAAGATCTCCGAAACTGTAGTGATTATCCCCTTTATGAAAAGATACAGATATGGCATACGTAGTTGTCGCATATGCATCATATAAATCTTCTCGTTTTAGGAGTTCAATTTCGAAGTAGTAAGCCATAACAAATATTTGGATTGTAAGGAGATGTGAACTGGACTCAAACACCCAAAATAAAAATTAACACAATTGGACTAACAACACTCTTAAAGAAAATGGCACCAGATTCACACCACACTTTCGCAGAGCGCGTATGAAAAACTCGACAAGCAAGGTGACTAGAAAACAAATTGAGAGCCTAGGACAGCCTGGGGCTCTGTATAGCCTAGGAATGGCCTAGGGCTATGATACCAGAAGAGGGGAGCGAGGGTTATAGGGACTCTTTTTTTTGTGGATTTTTTATTTTTGACGAAAAGAAACAAAGACAAGCACACCAAAGACTCAGACAAAAGAGGGGACAGGGTTGTAGGGACTTTTTTTTGTGGATGTTTGATTTTTGAAGAAAGAAAATAAAGACAAGCACACCAAAGACTCCGAAGAGGGGAGAGAGGGTTGCAGGGAATTTTTTTTGTGGATTTTTTTTTTTTGATGAAAGAAAATAAAGACAAACACACCAAAGACTGACTCTGTTTTTGGGCTTTTTGGATAAACCAAAGACTTAGAAGAGGGGAGAGAGGGTTGCAGGGAATTTTTTTTGTGGATTTTTTATTTTTTGATGAAAGAAATAAAGACAAACACACCAAAGACTGACTCTGTTTTTGGGCTTTTGGATAATAAACAAAGACACACCAAACTGACTCTGTATTTGGTATTTTTTGGATAATAATAATGAAAATAAAGACGAAACCCTCAAAGAAACGTAGAGACAGAGAGTGGCACAAGCAGAAGCATACTTGATTTTTTTTTTTGGAGAGATAGAAAGAGAACTAGATGAGAAAGGCAAAGCTGTTTTGCGACTTCTTGGACGAAATATCAAAGAAAGAGAGAAAGTGTTGTTTTGTTTTTTTGAGTATTGTCCCTTTTCAATGAATTCTTCATCACATAAATATTCGTCTATGTATCTTCTGACCACTCCTGGTTCTGTAAAATTTATTCTTTGGAAACACTTTCTCAAATTGTCCTCCCACTCGATATATCCTAATAACTTGTTAAGAAAATCCCTCTGAATATGTATTGGATATAAAGGTCTTCTAATGAATAGCAGGTCATCAATTTCTTATGAGCTAGGCTATAATTTCTGGTTCTAAGGAGCTCCATTTTAAATTATTTACAACAGTACTTATTCTCCCTGAAGAAGTCATAAATATATCTATAATAGGGTAATTACTATTATTGGATGGGGTCGGCTCAGGAAAAAGATCTCTGATTTTCTGGCACATTCTTTGTCTTTCTTTTGGAGAATTTACAGGATAAGTAGTCCATTCTCTGGGAGGTTTACGAACCATTCTTATCATTTAATTTCCCTTGTTAGTGCATCTAGAAGGCTATGGTCTTTGCTTGGTATCCTTTCAATGGAAAAGGTGTATTGTGACAATAAAAATTGCCACTAGACATATCTCTGTAATTTAGGGTTAGATATTAATTTTTCTTTAATAAACTAGCCAGATTAATAGTGTCGGTTCTTAAAATAAATTCTTCTTCAATCAAATAAGGATGAAATTTTTCTAGTCCTCTTATTGCAGCCAAAATTTCTTTCTCAGCAGGCCAGTAATTTAACTCATGATGTTTGAATTGTCCACTAGTGTAAGCACAAAGGTTTTCATCCTCGTCTTCCTTTTTTAATAGTACAGCCGCCCAAGTTTATGAGGAAGCATTTGTACTGAGAATAAAAGGACCTTGACATGCAAGACTTAAAGGAGGAAGATTTTGGGGTAGGGATTTTAGTTGAATTACCTCCTAAGTAGCCTTCTCATTGCATTTTAATGGCTCTTTCTTCTCTAATATTTTTTTTTGTTTTGATAATGCTGGAATAAAATCTCGAATATAATTTACACAGCCGAGAAATCTTTGGCATTGTAGCTTGTTGTCCTGGAGCAGACTAGGGAATTTATTTTGAATAACATGATGTTGCATTATAATTTTGCCTTCTGATAGCTGAACTCAAAGGAAATCAACTGTATTTACAGCAACTTAAAATTTATCTTTTAAAGCCGATAGACCAATGCCATGATCTCGAATCAATTGGGCAGATACTTTAAGATGCTGTACATGCGCCTGCACACTGTTAGAAAAACAAGAAAAGCATCTATATAGTTAGCAATAAACTTTATGTAGGGTCTGAAGATGGAATCCATCGTCATTTGGAACTGTGAAGAAGCATTTTTTAGGCCAAATGGCATGACCATCCATTCAAATAGTCCATAGGAGTAAAGAAAGCTGTCTTGTGGATTTCTTCCTTCTTTTATCTTGATTTGATGATACCCTGATTTGCGGTCAAACTTTGAAAATATTTTCTTTTCTTTTACCCTCTTTATTAACTCTTCTTTATTGGGGAAATTTCATTTTATTCCACAGTAACATTGTTAAGAGCAATGTTCAAAAAGTTGGCCGCCTGACTGCCTGGGCTGCTTTTGGAGAAAATGCCTAAGCGTTCTTAAGGCGGTCACTGTTAGGCGCCTGAACTAGCCGCCTGCCTAGGCGGTTGGGTGGCCGATTAGGCGGTCGAAAAGGCAGTAAAAGGCGCTTGTCTCAGTGGAAGACAAGGGTATGGCGGAAAAAAATTTCGTTAGGGGGCAAAAAAAGTCATTTTACCCCCTTAAAAGGGGAAATAAGGGTTTGACCCCAAAAACAATTTTAGTTAACTTTAGAGTGAGAAACAACTTGAAAAAAACTAGATGTCAAGATTTTTTTGAGAGATTGAAATTTTTTTTCGAAAATCCTCGAATGTCACGATAGTAAAAGATATTCAACTCCAATCTTTTTGAGGCTTATAGGGGTTGTAAAAGAGGAGATTTGGGATCCCAAACATTTCAGTTTGGCCTGAAATCGAGTCCACTTCAAGGAGGTTGGTATATTTCAATAGTTTTCATTAGGTTTCGTAATTTTTTCCCTTAATGTCTATTGTCTAATGATGTTATTTTTTGCTATTTGTATTTTTTCCTTTGATATTTTGTGATATATATTTGATATTTTATTGTCTATTTGGATTATTATTTTATTAGTTAGTTAAATAATTGCTTAATTCTTAATATCTTATTAAATAATTGTATGTGTAATGTGTTTTGTTGATGTATAATTCATAAAGCATAATTATTTTATTACTTAGTTTAATATTTGCTTAATGCTTATTAAATAATTGCATGTGTGATATTCTTTTTCGATTTTGTGTTATATCATTGCAATTTTGATGTGTATGTTTTACCTAGATTTATTTTTTGGCTTAATAAGAAGCCAATACATTGAAGGGTCAATGTCACTTCCTATTTATAATAAAAAGCCAATACATACAAAACTTACTTATTAAACAATAAAACAAACAATTTTATAAATAATAAAATTGGGAGAGGTTTGGGGGATCCAAATTAAAAAAAAATAAAAAATCATCGGTTTTTTTTGGGTCTGGGCACCCTCCTAGGCGGCCTAACCCCCCCACCGCCTAGGTGGCCCAGTCCCACCACCGCCTAGGCAGCCCAGCCCCCCACCGCCTAGGCAGCCGCCTCCGACTTATTGAACATTGGTTAAGATGAATGTAATTAATCACCATTCTAGCTTTTCCTTGTTTTTCTTCACTGTGGTTGCTTACAATAAAGGCTGCACATGAATAATTTGACTGTGACTTACTATCTAAAGCCTTTTCTACCAGTTCATTAATCTGATTTTTCAAGTCGGCCTCATTTTCTTTGTTCATTCGAATAGGCTTACCCTAAAATGGTATATTGTGAAGGGTGGGAATATGAGCCGCAGGCGAATCTTTGTCCCATTTTTTTAAGAGGTGCTCAATACAACATTTCTGTAATTCTTCTATAATATTCTTAATAGTGGTTATTTGAGATCCAACTTCTTAGGACAATTCTCTTATTTGTTTAACAAGCTCATTTTTTTCATGGGCTTCTTCCATTTTGAGCTGCCTTTTTAAAATTTTTGAAATAGAGGGATTGTTTTTCTAAATTTTGTTTGATCTCATTTTTAATGATGGAGATATTCTTGGAATAATATGTTTTTCTCCTTCTATGGAAAATAGTACCATATTCTCTGAAATAGTGTAAGGACTTATTTCATCCAAAGTTGCAGTACCTAATCCGGCTTGATACCCTCCGTCATCTATTGTTACAAAATTTATAGAAACTGCTTTTTCTACAAGCATCAGAGGGACATTTAAAGCAAATTCTGTTAACTTTCTTCATCCATTCATTGTTTCAACAAATTCATCCTGAGGATGTTTTACCCAATTTTTCCACATTTGATTTGTGCAAAAATTAATATTAGCTCCAGTATCCAAAAATAATTCAACCTTTTTCCGTCATATTCCTGCATTTTTCTACTTTAAAAAATCATGTGGACTAATTTTTGGATCTGTATATCTTCACTTTTTGTCCTTGTTTTTGTGATGCACACAGTTTTAGTGTGCAAGGATGCATATGGATCGCTGTGTATGTGATCCTTTTTCTTTCCTGGAGCTTATTGAAGCCTCTTCTTTCCATTATATCTTGCTGGGATGCATATGTTGTATTTTCTCAAAGAAACACCACATCCTTAGGTGAATCTTGGAAATGTTCTCCACTTTGAAAGAAGTGTGATATGTTGTGTTATGTGCATCTCCTGTCATTTTGTTCATATGCCTTTACTTTTTGGAATAACTGCAATATTGTTTTGCAGAGTTAAATGATTGAAATTTTGATGCAGAAGTACCTGGGCGGGACTCAGAAATCATATTCATGGGCACAGGAACTAGTGAAGGCATTCCACGAGTTAGCTGTCTCACCAATCCTACAAAGGCTTGTCCGGTAGAGAAGGAGACAATGAAACTTTTTTTTTTCTTGTTTTTCTTTGTTCATAAGTTCTAGGAGTTTCTGTTTTTAACAGCTATAGTCTGGTATTGCTGACATCAGATATATGATTGTCTTCTGCTGCTTATTTGTGCTGTCAAGGGCTGATTTGCTATTGGTTGTCCTCAAGCAAGTTCATTTTCCCCTCTCTCTTTCTAAAATTTCCTTAATCTTAAAAAAAAAAAAGAAAAAAAGAAATCCATTTTACAGATCATGATTGATATTTATTCTTTTCTGAATTTCTTCTCTAATGGTTGTTGCTCCTTGTGAATGATTGCGAGAGGAAATATAGATGCCATAATCTGCTTTACTAGAGTGTGGTGGTTGCTACTTCTTTTGTGGTGTCCCGTCATTTTCCTCTTTGAATCTGGTCAGGTTTTCTGAAATGTAAGCATGAATTTTTTATTTGTAACCGAGCCTTCAGATTTCAGAATTCCTGCTGGTTCAAGAGTTCAAATGCTTTCATAGAAGAGAAAACTTCCCTTTGTGGTGATAAAGATGCTTGATTTGGTAAATGGACACACAAAAATTTGGAATTATGTGGATTGAAAAAACATGCATTCCATCCAAATCCTAAGAGAGGTTCTTCTTTACCTCAGAGTGAACTATGGTTCTTTTTAGTTTCACTCATTTCACTCTGCTTCGAATGGGCAGCTCCCTGGACAATCCCCCAGCTTGCCTCCTCCTCAAAATCCCAACCTGTGAAAATCCTTACTTGGAATATCCGAGGACTGCGAGACAACTTCAAGAGACAGGCAGTGCAAGACTACTGCCAAATCCACCACCCATCTGTTCTGGTCATCTGTGAACAAAACTTCCCTCTCCATCTCTTCTTCAAATCAGGCAGGTTTGTGGGGAGATGACCCTGTCAATGGATCGCTTTCGATGGTTTAGGGGCCTCCGGAGACATATGGGTTAGCTGGGACCCTACCCGTCATGCCCTCAACTCCTCTTTGGTGGCCAACTTCTCGGTCACCTCATGTTGCTTTCCAGAATATCTGATGGCATCCAAAGTTAACCTTTACTGTAGTCTACGGCCCCAACTTCTCTGGTCTCAGAAGTCAGCTCTGGGATAAATTACATGACATTGCCATCCAGAGCCCCTCTTTATGGTGCATTGGTGGTGACTTCAACATCACCAGATGGTCGTTTGAAAGAAATTCCGACCCTCGAATATCTTAGAGCATGCTTCAATTCTCAGACTTCGTCTCTAGTCACAATCTGGTAGATGTTCCACTTCAAGGTGCCGGCTTTACGTGGTCCAACCACCAATCCAAACCCTCCCTCTCTAGGATATACCGCTCCCTCATTAGCTCTGAGTGGGACTCTGCCTTCCATGGTTCCCATGCTTTAGTTCTTCCCAAACCCACATCCAACCATCGACCTATCCTCCTTGATAATCAGCAGGCCCACAAAGGTTTTAAACCTTTCTCTTCGAGCTCTCTTGACTTGAAGAGGTAGAAATACACTCACTGATCCCTTCTTGGAGGCACTCCTATTCTAATCTCGTTCAAGGGTGGCGGGCTTTCGCCTCCAATGCAAATTAGTAAATTACAATGGTTTAAAGGCTTCCCCAAAGATTGAAGCAAACTTCATGGAAATTTCAGAACCCAGAAAGATGACACCCTAAGGTCTCTTATGGAGTGGGACCAGATTGAGGAGGAAAGGGCTCTCAACCCAGACAAAGTTAGTCAAAGAGCCGAACTGAGGCGCCTTTACCGGACTCTACTCCACAAGGAAGAGATATTCTGGTTCCAAACTTCTAGGGTCAAATGGCTCAAGTGCGGAGACCTAAATACAACCTTCTTTTCATAGGATTGCCAATTGCCGAAGGCGAGATAATACCATTGCCCAGATTAAGGTGGGAGAGTCGATTCTCGATCAACCCCATTTGGTGGATAATGCTATCACCACCTTTTCCAAAAACCTATTCTAGGTCCCTCTGGTCCTAGGCTGAGGATGGGAAAGCTTTCATTCCTGGCCATCCCGCTCGACGAGCCAATCTGGCTGAAATGCCCTTTCAATGAGGAAGAAATCTTCAAGGCCATAAAAGATCTCGCTCAGGACCTTGCGCCTGGTCCCAATGGCTTTCCGGGTGCTTTATTCAAAAGCTTTTGGGAGTCACTTTGACTCGACATTCTCTGTTTCTTTGAAGAATTTCACATGAGAGGTATTATCCACAAAGCGATGAATGCAACCTTCATCTCGCTCATTCGTAAAATTGAAGGGGCTGAAGAAATCAAGGACTTCCGACCTATAAATAGATGCTCCTGTAAAATCCTCCCCAGAGTCCTAGCCTGGAGACCTAGAAAAGTTCTTGGCTGGGTCATATCCCCTCACCAAGGGGCCTTCTCAAAGACTGCCAAATTCTGGATGGGGCTCTGGTTTCTCACGAGTGCATACACTTGAGGCATCTTTCCAAACTATTGGGGGTCGTAATTAAGCTAGATTGGGAGAAAGCCTACAACCTCGTTGATTGGGATATCCTCGATGGGACCTTTAGGAGATTGGGTTTGGGGCTCAATGAAGGAAGTGTGTCAAAGGTTGCGTCTCCAATCCCCATTTCTCGGTCCTCATCAACAAGACGTCGAAAGGCTTTTTTTTCCTCCTCCTGGGGACTCAGACAAAGTGATCGCTTGTCTCTATTCCTCTTCGCTATGGTGGGCGGAATCTTTTGTTGGTCCACAGCCAGACTGTATAGCCATGGTTTAAATGAAGGCTTCAAAATTGGGAACGGGGGTTCAGTTATTACGCATCTTTAGTATGCGAATGACACCCTTCTCTTCTGTGGGGCAAACCAATAGCAGGTCAATTCTTTACTCCTGTTCCTCAAATGTTTCGAGATGGCTATTGGTTTTTAGAGTAAATATGTCGCAAACAAAAATGATGGGGGTGTCTGCCAATACTTGAACTATCAACAACCTTGCCAGCTGATGGGGCTGTGAGGTCGACACCTTACCATCCACCTATTTAGGTTTGCCCCTCTGCATTAGAGAGCTCAAGCCCGTCAATGGATCTACATTATAAATAAATTCGACAGGAGGCTGGCTGGATGGAAAGGTAGGTTTCATTGGAAGGTCGAGTAACCCTTATCAAAGCTACTCTGCCCAACATCCCAATGTACCAAATGTTGTTGTTCCATATACCATCCAATGTGGCCAACCTATTGGAGCAACTCATGCACAACTTCTTATGGTTGGGTGAAGGAAGCAACATGAAATATCACCTTATTGCCTGGGACAGGGTATGCCTACCTAAAAAATTCAGAGGATTGGGTATTTGTAGTCTCAAAACAAACAATCTCGCAGAATGGCACTGCGAGTTAGTTCAAGTGGAAGGATTGAAAAGGGCAAGGGGTAGGCCCAAGAGGACATGGTTGGAAGTAGTCAAAAAAGATATGGGGGCTTATTGCCTCACTGAGGGTATGACCTTAAATAGAGTAGAATGGCGGACCACGATTCGTGTAGCCGATCCCAATTAATTGGGAAAAGGCTATGATGATGATGATGAAAGCAAACAATCTTGAACTTCCTGGCAAGTGGTGGTGGCGCTTTTGCTACTCAAGAGAACCATCTTTGGAAATAAGTCTTCCTTCACAAATATCATCTTCATCCTTCTGATTGGTTACCACCTTGTAGGGTGGGCTGTTGACCCTCAGGTGCATGGAGATTGATTATCTACAGCCTCTTACACTTCAAAGACAACATCATATTCATGCCTCAAACCGGTACTCGACTCGAGATTTGGCAAGACCTTTGAATTGGAAGCACTACCCCGAGAGAGAAGTTCCCCAATCTCTTTCTCCTTGCCCACAATGGCTAGGCTTCTGTGGTTGATATGTTCGATTCCATGGGCTTCACCAGGCTTGGATCCTAAACTTTAGGAGACTTGTGGCTAAGCACAAACTGCAAGAGTTCCTTGAGCTATCCTCCTGATTGCAATTTGTCTTCCTCCCCTCCATGGGAGAGGATAGAATAGTTTGGACACCAACTTCAGAGAAGGGCAATACTTATCACGAACAGGTGCATCATGTGCTTGGATAACGTGGAGACCAACACCCTTCTTTTTATCCATTGCAGATGTGCAAGAAACGTGTGGGGGGACCTTTTGAAGCTGTTCAACTCATAGTTACCGGGATCCCTTACTTTGGTAGGCGATCCCTTCTAGGATCTCGATTTTGTCGATCCTGGAACGGATCTCTCAAGGATCTCGATTTTTAAATTTTGGGATCTCGAACCTGACTCATAAGGATCCCGATTCCTGCTGTTAGGGATTTCGATTTCAACCTTAAAGGCCAAGACAACAACCAAACTGATGATTTTCTTTGTTTATAGCCAACTAGCAACAAAACTATTGCTAACTTGCTATCAATAATAAGATCCATAGTTTTCAGCTCCGTACAACCTCTCCATGGGCTAAGTTGGGCATTCTCCTTTAGAAGGCTTCTGTTGCTGCTACTTTATGGTTCATTTGGACTTAATGTAATAGCATAAGTGTTAGAGGTGAATTTGCCACACTCGAGTCCCTAAAAAACAGGATCAAGGGATTTGTGATCATTTGGGCCTTCAACAACCCCATTTTCAATTCCTTCTCCCACAGAGACTTCCACTAGAACTGGCAGGCCATGCTCTTCCTTAAACCCCATGGCACCTCTCGAGCTTCTTTGTGGAAACTGCCCCGAGACACACCAAACTCAACTTCTATGGATTCTCCTTAGGCAATCCTAGCCCGGCCAGCATAGGGGGCATCTTTGGGGACCACGAAGGAAGGACCCTCTTTCTCTTTTCAAAGTACATCGGCTACACTGATTTGAGCACAACCGAGACCCTCGCCCTGTTAGAAGGTCTCAGAAAATTTGACCTTGAGTGTGGTAGCAACTTAATCATGGAGGGAGATTCCAAGAATGTCATCTCCTGGGCTTCAGGCTCTGCGGAGTGCCCGTGGAGATTAGCAACCGT